GGCAGCCATCTTGTGATTACTGAGTACGATGCTAAAAAAAGAAAATCTCAAGTATAGGTATTAGTTCTTATGGATCTCAATAAAAAATGATACTTATATAATTTTATAGGGATCTAAAATTTAATTCAAGGAATCCTAATATATTTATTTATTCTAAAGGGTGAACCTATTGTTCACTTAGTGTGAGGGTGGGGGTGTCCTGGGCCAGTTTCAGCCTAATCCTATTTTATGTAAAGAAAAGATTATTTTTAAGCTTATGTTAAATGTATCTTAAAGGGCCTTCCAAAGGTCAAGAAGATTATTTCTGCCTAGATAGAACTTTTAACATACCCCCTATTGTGACAGAAGGGATAAAACATTGTAATTAACAGTAGGTGGTCAGGGCAAAGGGGAGTGGTCGGGGGACTTTCGGGAAATCTTATCACATACTCAAGATATATGAGAGAGCTATATAATTCTTTTATAGTAGTATATCAGGGAGTCAGAGGGGTGTCGCTTCCCAGCAAGGCTACCACAGTCTCTGGAGCATATAGCAAGCGGCCTTGCCAACATGATGAGTTGACCCAAGCTTTGTTCATAAGTTGGGGGCGTACAGCAGCAGCCTTGCCAACATGCTGAGCTGACCAAAGCTGTGCTCAAAGGTCAAAGGCTCAAACAGATCCTGGGGCCCCACTGGATTGGACACCTCCATTTCTGTCTTCAAAATATTCTATGCTGGGGTGATGATGGTAGAGAGGAGTGAGAAGTGATTGCTAAAAGGGTCTCTTTTTGTTCAGACAAAGATATTCAAAACAAAATTGAATTCAGGGTAATAATAGCACTGTATATTAAAGACCAATTATATTATACATTTTAACTAGTAAATTGTATGATATGTGAATTATAGCTCAATTAAACTGTTATAATTGAAAAAATTCTAAATCTAGTAAATGATTGTGTTTATTTCTACAGAATAAAAGGCAATACAGCAACTATCATTACTATAATATCAAAATGATCAAAACTGTATCAAGTGGTATTTGTATAATTCATATAGAATAATTTTTAGTAAGTTTTACTCAGGGAAATAAATAGTATGTAGCATGAAAAAGAGCCACATGTTTCTGATTTGAAAAATAGGGCCATATGGGATACAGCAGGGACATCTACTTTAGCAGCCAGGAACAGAGCTTAGTGCTTTCTATCAAAGGCAAAAGTCCTGTGGTTGCTGCATACCCATGATCTGGGAATAGCTGAAGCAAGGAGTGGATCAAGGCAACAATACTTGTTTAAGGTACACTCTCTCTCTCAAAGTAAGAAGTAAATAAACTTTATTTTTAAAAATCCATACATAGTTTTTCTTAGAACTTTTTAATATTTCCATGAACGTTTTAAAGACACCTTGCAGAGCTAGCATTGGCACTTGAAAGTTTAGAAAGATGCATGAAAGAATAGTAAGATTAATATATATTCTTTTATTACTTTTCTTATTTTAGTAAACTAAAAAATATCTAAAATACCAAACCTAAGTACATT